ACTACCCAGGCCAGCACAGAGCTTTGTGGCTGCACCCCATTCTTGTCACAGCTCTGGCCTCAACTGCTCTGTTTGTGCAGCTGCCCGCCCAGGGCACAGTGAGCGAGGGCAGCAGTGGGAAAGAGCCCAGCTCACAGGCCTTTGATTTTGTCCCAGAGGGCAGCACACAAAGCACGTGACTGCAAATCTGTTCTGATTCCGGATGCCGAATTAGCACACAGCCGTGCAGGCCTGAAGGAAGGACTCAATTAGAAATGATCAAAGAACACTCCCAGGGAAAGCAGCCAACCTTCCCTTCATTGTGGCTATATTGCCACAAGTGCTTCCACGGGGGCCAAGGGGCTCCCATATTTGCCATGTGACCACCACTGGGGGCATTTCAGAGGGGCAGACCGGCTCGTGGTGGGGGAGGGGCCCTGAGGCCCCATCCCTGTCTCTGGGGGCACAGGTGACTACTGCTGCAGAGCACAGAAGCCCAGCCCTCCCTGCCTCACCCTGGCCCCTTACAGTGTTCTGCAGTCACTGTTGATTCCCCTCTGAGACAGATTCTGTCCCAGGTGCCCCTGAGTCCTCCCTAAGGAGGAAAGTGGGGCCTGGGAGTACTTGATATGCTGATCCCCTACCTGCAGGGGAGGATGGCCCAATGGCCTGGGGCTGCCGTTGCTAGTGTAGCCATTTCACAGACTAGGAAACTAAGGCTGCAAACAAAGCAACCTGTCCAAGGAGAGTCATACTTAAGACCCAGACCCCCCCCAGGCCCAGGGTCTCCTCCCTCCCTGCCTCTGCCTGGCTGCCTGGCCTGTGTGTGTTGGCCTTTTCCACCCCCTGTCCTGCAAGCCCAACACTGCGTTCTTGGGTAGGACAGAGTTCCTGAGGGAGCTCACATCCCTGCGCATGGTACCTAACATCACAAGCCATGTGTGGTTGCTGACACTGCTATGTAGGCCTGGACAGGCCACTGCTTCTCCACGCCCTGACCCAGGAACCTGAGAAGCAAACTGTAAAACGACCAGTTTCTAGCCCTGGGCACATGTGGTCATTCACAGGCCTGCATGGGCCTTCCCCACTGCCAGGCTGGTCTTTCTAGCCAGTGGCATCTCCTGTGCTTTCTCGGTCCCCCATCCTCCCAGTAACTTGGGGCCGTACTGGACACAGGCCATAACCAACTAAGAGTCTAAGTGCCTCCATTCCCAGTGCTACACCAGGTCTCTGGACACTTGGGGACATTGTCCTAGTGGCTGGGCGAGCTCATGTGAGCTGTCATGGAGGCTGGGGGACCAGGCCCAGGCATAGGAAACACATCTCCTCCCGTGACCTCCAGGGGGAGGGCATCCTGCTCACACACAACGTGGGAGGGAGATAAAGGGTTTTTGTGGGCTCTTTTATCTGCCCGACCATGCAATCGCTGTGTGACTGCTCAAGGAGACTCAAGTTGTTCTCCCACCAGATGCTACAGCCGAGCACAACCACAAGCGTCCCCTGTTGTGCATCCTCCGGAATGGACCTGGGTGTGAGGGATAAGTCTTCCACACCCCACTGTCACCCTCCAGCCTTGGAAAAGCTGCTCAGCTCTGGGAACAGCCTGACCTTGGGGCGGGGAACCTTGCAGGGTGTCGTAGATAAGCCTGCAGACAAAAGAAAAATGCCAAAAGCAGGGGGAGGGGATGGCAGGTATGTCCTGAACCAAAAAGTGCCCTCTGCCCAACCATGTCCATCTGCTTCTTTCTGTGCCTTCCCCACGTCAAGCCACCCCCACCGATATTCCCTGAGACGGCTGTTTCAGCCACCCAGATCAGAAATGACCACCCAACCTCTGCACAGCCTTCTGAAAAGGCCAGGAGCAAATCCAGACACTTTAAGTGGTGCCAGTCCCCACATACTCAGCACCATGGCATCCCAACCCCAGCCACAGGAGTAGCCCGAGCCCCTCCCACACCTGAGATCTCAGCCCGGGGGCCTGCAGAGCAGCCATCTCTGCGCCTTCATGCAGTCACAACTTCCTGCCCTCAGCGGGGCCTCCCAGGCCTGGGCTGGAGCCCCATCACCCTGTCTGCACTTTCCTGTTCTTGTGTGTCTGAGGTCTCTGAACCACAGAGTGAGGTTTGGCTGGCAGAGCTGTGCGCTCATTGCACTCAGAACCTGAGAAAGTTCTGGTGAAGAACAAGGGTAGGACTGCTTATAGTCTCATGGCAATGAGGAAACAAGGCCAACAGAGGCCTGGGGCTAACAAACAGCTGGACTTGAACTTGGGTTGGCTGGGCCCCATGCCCAAGCCCCTCCTGCAGCCCCAGGTGTCAGGTGAGCCAAGGAGAAAGATGGATTTGATGCTGGGTGGAGTGAAGGAGAGAGTGCCTAGGCCAGTGCAGGGCGGCCTGCAGCTCACCTGAGCACACAGAGCTGAGCCTCCGCCAGGAGGATCCAGCCCTCTTCCCATCAGCACGGGGATGCACGGGGTTTTGCAGGCTGCCCGAGGGGGAAACGGAGTCAGACAAACATTGTGGGAGAAAAGGGTCAACATTTCCAACAATGAGTCCTCCAGAAAGGAAGGCATTCATCTGGGAACAAAGTAAATCTCTTAAAAACAGGAGACAGGAATTTTGCAGACGCTGCACTGTATCCCGAGTTCAGAAAGAAACTGCTTCGGGCAGGAGGTGGGTGGGGGAGGATGTTTTCAACAGCAACAGAATTATAAACACATTATACATTCAAGCTGAACAAAAGCTCTTTGCTATTCCTACTGAAATTTGTTTTTACAAAAGTCAGTTCCCCTCGCTGCATTCCTCGTCTGTCTGTATCCAAACATACCAGCCAAGTAAAAGCCTTCATAAGCAAGGCTTCTATCCGATGACCCATCTCCCAGCCGGACAAAGCAGTGGGTGCAGGATGGAGTTTTTTCTCCCACCCATCGGTCCTAACTGCTCTCCATGAGGCCGGGAGTTACTAGGCCCTGACTAGGTCTCTTGAGACCCCAGAAGTAAAGAGTAAGACAAGTTCTTGCCTTCAGGAATATGCTGGAACCTGAAGTCCCAGGAAAGCCCTTGAGTACGGTGGAAGCGCCCAGAGCAGCAGTGGCAGGGATTAAGGGCAGGTCCTGGCTCATCCCAGCCCTGCCTGTTGGGCTCACCCACAGAGAGTGTTTCAAGGACTTCCTGGGGAGCCAGGTACCACTGGTCAGATGCACGATCCCAAGAATTCCAGCTCCTGGGGTGCTGACCCAGGCTACCTTCCACAGAGAGTGATCACACGTCAGATGGAATTTTCCCTCCCAGGATGACAATGATTGTGGCTATGGGAGCTGATTCTTATTAGGTACCAGGTGCCATGCTAAAGGCTTCACATACATTAATGTATGTAACAAAGATGGCCTGCCGAATGATGTGGATTCCTGCTTTGACTTCACCAGGTCAGTGTACACCAAAACTCTGGACTTCTCTCTACTTTGAGAGAGGACGGGCAAGGGCAGGCAATGTGGCAGCCACTGCAGCCCCATGTGCACCCGATTCTCCTGAATCATGAGCATGCCCCCCGCCCAGTCCCATGCTCTTTGGACACCAGATCCCTTTACAGTGTGGTGCCCAGTGTGGCCAGTCAGGGGTGGGAAGGGAAGGAATCGGAGAAACCCAGAACTGCAAGGATGAATTTCTGGGTGTCATAGCCAGAAGCCCTGCGGTGTGAGACCTTCAGGGGTTTTCCAAGGACACGATTCACAGCTAGACAGCTCCAAAGTGTAAGAGAGAACGGGCTACGACAAGACAACAGCCACTCCTACCCAGGACTTCACAGTGAAAGACAGCTGCCGTGAGAGAGTGTCTACATGGGATTTTAGAAGTGGCTCAAATTCTGGTTCCCCCTGTGACAGAGCTCTGAGCTGCTGCCAGGACCAGCTGTATCAGGCCAGCTGTGTCCCTGGTGAGCTAGGGGACACGAGGGCTGTTCTCTGTGGCCCTAGCTTTCTAATGGCACGCAGACATAGAGTGAAGCGCTGGTGCCCACCCGCCCCTCCATTCACAGGGCTGAGGGGACTGGCTATGTGTGTCCTCATGATGACCTCCTATGGAGGGGCTCTCAGAACCTGTCTTGGACCAGCCACTGTGGCTTGTCTGTGGAGTCCAAGCCAACACCCGACCCGGGCCAGCTGTGCATCCACTGCAGGAAAAACCAGCACTTCTGTGTATCAAAAGACGCCTACAGAAGTGTTCCTGACAGAGCTTTCAGTGGCCCGGAATGCGGGGACCACATCACCCTTGCCCATAGAATGATGAGCTAAGTATATAGCACATTCACAGGGAACAAGGCCCTGTAGCCAGAGGATGTACCGTCACCAAATGCCACACCATGGGTGACCCACATGGGATGCAAAAAGTGCTGATTACAGTGCAGAGGTCAGCATGGTAGATGCTGGTATGTGGGGGTATCCACGGGCACAAGGGCCCTGCTGGGGGCTGGGCTGTTCTGCATCCTGGGAGACAGCTCTGATTTACCTGTGGGGCATCTACCATTTGGGTAGCCTCCTGTGTGCAACATGCACCTTGGGAGACTAAAATAGCAACAGGTCACAATGTGCCAGACACAGTGCTAAGCTCTCTCCAAAAGTCCCCATCCTACCCCTCCCCAGCCCCGACAGTGAGTGGGTAGGAGAGTGCGGTTCAGGACAGGGGAATCTCTGTGTCCCTGTTGCTCTGGGTGATATTTAATGTGTTGGGTGATGTTCAGTCTCTCTAAGTCAATATCACTGCTTCTCCTGGGATGGTGTGACCTGGCACACAGTGTCCCCATTCAAAGGATACCCTTCATGCTAGCGTACCAGACCTGAGGGCTGCTGCATTCAGTAGCGGGGGACCCGCTACTAAGGGTCAGGGTGCACAGCAGGTGAAGTGATGTGTTGGAGAACCTGGTGGATCTGGGGGCCGGGGCTGTGCAGAGGTGGGGACCCACCCCCCCCCCCCCCAGCACAGCGGGACCTTAGAAGACAGCTGTGAAGGCCCAGAGGCTGCACTCACCCTTCCCGATCTGGATGAAGCCCAGCAGAATGATCAAGGCCAGTGCCAGGAGTTTGGCTGCAGCAAAGGCATCCTGGACCCGGGTGGCAGCCTTCACGCTGTAACAGTTCACGGCCGTGAGCAGCACTGTGGAGATAAGGCAGCAAGTGAGTCGCACTGGACAGACGGTCACCATGACACAGGGGCAGGCTAAGAAAAAACCAGCCCCTTTGGGGGGGTCTCATCCTCCGGGACTTGTTTTGATAAACTTGATAGCAATCCACGCCCAAGGTTAGAGGCTAAGAATCACAGGCACCCTGAGCTGTCACAAAGGATTTTTTTTTAATGAATAAAGTTCAATATCCTAAGGGACCAACAATCAACACAGCTACCTTCCCTCCCTTCCCACCCTCCACACCCCTGTGTTGAGCTGAGCCTGTCTTAAGAGTGTCGGTTAAATAGCTAACCTGCCATTTCAAGGGGGACTGCATTCACCTCTTTGTGCCCACTCAACATTTACCATAATTTATTGGGGTCACACACAGCCTACCAAACTTCTTGAAGGTGGGAAACTCTTTCATCGGAGAGAATCTTTTAGAACCCCACAGAGTTAACGGTGAGTGAGGTGCCCTGCTAGCACAAATCCATGTGACAAGTCAAATGGTAGGACCACCAACACCTGAAATGGGGGTTGAAGGTGAATGCCACAGCCCCGGGGCCAAGGAGCAGCCACACTTGGGTGGGCCCAGCTGGCACAGGAAACCACAGTTCTACTGCTGTTGTGACGGCATACCTCGAAATGGAAAATTGCACCAGTCACAGGGGGTTTCCACCTGACCCGGATGGGAACAGAGGCGAAGACAGGGTGGCAGCCGAGCCAGGCTCGGCAAGCACACCCAGACAAAAGCAGGCGCTGCCCAGGCACCCGTGAGAAGACCCTGCCCTGCGCTAAGGAGCACTGGGGTGGACACGCGCATGCTCAGGAGCCAGCACGGACTGTTTAGGGATCTTGAGAGTGGGCAGTTCACAGAGCCACCCCGTAAACTTACAATGAAACAAAATTATACTAAAACAAAGGCAGCCAAACACTCAACACAGACTCCTTCCCATTTCTCTAATTCTAATTCATCGACACACTCAGGTGTCTGTGCTGCTGAGTCGCCTCCCTCTCAGGTGAGTGCACCTCGCTCTTATCCCAGCTCCCCACCCACAGGTACGGAACACCAGGTGCCCGGGGAGCATTTACACCAGGAACTGGCAGGGGCACAGACAGGGCCTTTTCTTCATGGAGGGCTGGTCATTAAACATTAACCAGCACAGCCAGAGCCCAGGGGAAGGGCCTCTCTCCACCTTTCCCCAAACACCCGTCTCTTCCTCAGAAGGCTTTGGTAAGGTTGGCTTGTCCTTCCTCTTTTCTAGACAGAACCAACCCAGGGCTGGGGAACCCAGGTGGCATCTTTCCCCGGCAAAAGTAATTACATGTAACTTTACTCTTTGAAGATTAGGGTCCAGCCCTGGCTGTTGTGGCTCAGTGGATTGAGCACAGGCCTGCGAACCACACGATTGCAGTTTGATTCTCAGTCAGGGCACATGCCTGGGTTGCAGGCCAGTTCCCAGCAGGAGACGCACAGAAAGCAACCATACATTGATATTTCTCTCCTTCCCTTCCCCTCTAAAGATAAATAAATAAAATCTTAAAAAAAAAAAAAAGATTAGGGTCCAAAGAGATAAACCCATGCTCGTTAACTGGGGGAAAACGTCCAGTCCAGGTGGAAGGAAAACAGAAACTCTTCCTGACATGCTCTGGGTGGGATTAAGGGCTTCCCCGCTCTGTCTGCCCACCTCTCTTGGAAATGAACTGACACCTTAATAGCAACTCCCCCCTCATTTTTCTCTTCACTGCTCTGAACTCTGGCTGATGCAACGGTAGACAGACTACGTTATACACTGAGAAAGTTCAGGCTAAAAATGTTTTGAAAGTATTTGCTTTCGGCTGCTGTTCCAAAACTGAAATACTCAGAATTCCCCCAAGAACTGTGACATGAGGTCCTGGCTTGGATCTTACTTGTGGGGACTCGAGCGGAGACCCTGACTCTCAGGCTCTTCTGCACCTTCAGAGGCTCATAGTAAAATGAGCTGCCTCGGGGTGGTAGGGGTTTAAATGAGGCGGCGAGGACGTGGGGTTCACAACAAAGTGGCTGTGTCACAGTACTGAAGCCGTCTCTTGCAGCAGGAACTGAAAGGCTCAGAGGGGCCGCACAAGGCAAACAGCACCTGTGGCCTTCACTGTGTGGCTCTGGGGTGGACACACGCTCGGCCCGGGCCCTCAGGACCCATGGAAGACTGCTGTCCTGTGTTAAGCACGTCGGCACTGCCATTCCCAACACAGAAGAGGAAACAGAAGCTCAGAGGAACTCTCCTGTACAAGGTGGAAGGGGCAGACCCAAGACCGAGACCCAGGTCTCCAGGGCCCGCTGACATCCCCCATAAGACAATGCAGGGTGGGGAGAGGAAGGTACTAGTGGGATTCCCTCTCCCTGGGCTTCCTGAGAAGTGCTTCCAGTTTAGTGATCTCTGGTCCGACATGCCCAGTGGCTGGGAGCCAGGATGAAGAGGACTTGAGGGGCAAGCCCAAATTCCTTCCTGCTACCGGATGGCTCCCAGGGAGCCTCTGCACAGCGAGAGGCCAGGTCCGGGGTCCCTCGGCTTTTCTGAGCCAGACTCCTACTTTTTTATGGTTGAGTGACAGTCCTGATGCAAATGCCCCAGGCCCCTCCTCTCAAGGCACACTCAGCTTTCCCGGTGCAGCAAGAAGCCTGAAGATTGCATCACTCCATTCACTGCCACTGGGAGGCGGGGCAGGCGGGAGGCGCAGCCAAGGCAAGCAGGCAGGCAGCTGCTCTGCAGCCACGAGCCCCAGGGTAAGCTGGTCCTCTCCTCACAGGAGGAGAGCAAGTTCCCTTGCTTCAGGAACTAGAGCAGCACTGCTGGCACCCAGCGCAGCCAGCTCTGCCTGTCACCTCTGCTCGACTCACCCCCCCCACTTGGGGGTCTCTCCACCGCACGGTGAGCAGGGGCAGGGCAGGACTCGGAGGCTCCCGGGAGGGAAGATAGCTTGCCGAGAGCCTCCCCCCCCCCCCCCCCCACCCCGCCTGTGGGCTCTTCTACTGCCGTGCTCACTGACTCGGGGGTGGGTCTTAGTTGTCACTAGGGTGAGAAAGAGGCCCCTCCTCTGACACCCAATGCCCCTCCACAGATAACAGAGGGCACACACCCTACCCATTCCAAGACCCAACCCAGTTGTTCCCACCAACAAGGGCCAAGCCCCAACCATATCAGAGAGCCACTCTGCACTGAGGCACGGTCTCCCCAGACGCAGGACCATCTCATGACATTAAAAATGTCCAGACTGTGAAGAAGCAATGGGCTGATAACCCACAGTCTGGAAGGGAAAAGAACCAGGTCACAGAACAAAGGGGACTTTATAATATTTGTTCTTTTCTAACAAGAACCAAAATGCACGATAAAATTTCAGTTTTCACTGACTTTGGTCGATGGGTCAACACGTACATTATTGTTCTCATAGTGTTTCTTTATTAAAAATTTCAAAATGAAATATCTTAAGTAAATAGGTGACTCCATCAGGACTGTCTTTTAGCCTTAGAGAAAGCAGTCTTGGGAGGGGTCCGCGGGCTGGGTTTGCAGCCCAGCTTCCCTGCTTTAAGCTCCACCAGCTGGACAAGATGCCCAGCCCCTTGAGCCTGTTTCCACACCTGCCGCCGGGGACTGACCAGCACAAGGGGAGGTGCTGGGTGTACAGAGATGTAAGGAGGGACTGCTGCTGTTGTCGCCATGGCTACTAACTCACAGCCCCTCCAGGAAGGGAGATGAGGAGAAAAGTATTGGTACTTGTGCTGCATGCAGTTGGGGAGAGAATGCAGCCTGCCAGGGCACAGGCCCACCAGCACCAGCAGGCTGGTAAAGATGGGTGACTATCAGGAGGGCACCTGGCTAGAAGCCAGCCCTCTCCAGGGTTCCCTGCGCCAGCACCCCCAGATAAGCATGGACGTGCTCTCAAATGGTGACAGCTGGGGCAAAGGAGATAAAGCCCAGGGCCTCCAGGGGAGGAGGCAGCTCCGGGCTGGATGCCACCGGCTGACTCCACAGCCTTCATCAGGTCTGCCCCCTTCTTCATTCTGACATGCCAGCCCACCCAGCTGGCCAGCAGGGGCATCCGGCTCCACCTCAGCAAAGGAGCCAGGCCCCCAGGTCTGCACTGCAAGGGCACCATCCCTCTGCTAAGGGACTCCTGCCCTCCTTCTTCCCTGGTGGCTCTACTTGAGCCCCCATCCTCAAGTTCAGTATGCCCCAAGGGCCCGAAGTGCTGCCCAGTGAAGCAAAGAAGCCCCCTTGGCTGGGCCTCCTACTCTTGTCCCCTTACCTCGGGGGACACCTGGTTACAGTTGGAGCCCGGCGGTGAGGTCCAGCTCCAGTGCTGGCCCGAGTGGGTGACTCGGTTCAGACTGGGCATCTGCAGACTGTAAGGGGAGACCATCCCTGAGGGCTGAGGGCTGAGGGCACTGGCTGGGCACAAACTCAATGACACACAACGGCTCCTTCCCTGGATCTGTTATTGCTCAGAACCCCTCCCTGATCCTGAGCAGGGTGGCCTTGGGGTCTCTGCTTGCTAGTGTGGCTCAAGACACCCCACTCTCTCTGCTTCCCCATCTGAGTGGTGCTCTCTACCTGAGGTTTGAGTCCTTGATGAAAAAGGGTGAGTCCTTGATGAAAAAGGGTCAGTCCTTGGGGCAGAGGCAGTCCGGGATCTATAAGCAACGCTTCCCCAGCAGAGGTGGGGCCCAGCTGTGGGGAACTGGCTGGGAGGGGCCGAGATGCCAGGCGCATGAACATTGTTTGACCCCAACTTTGTCAGCAAGCCCTGAGGTAAAAAAAAAAAAATGCCTGTCAACCTCTGTGACTGAAGCTGGCCAGAGACCCGAGCTCAGGCAAATGGCCAGCCTGCTGACTCGGACATCTCGGCGGTCACCGGGCCCTGGACTGAGCCCTGGCTACAGGTGGGCTTGTTGCTAGGATAACGGCCAATGACCACGCACAAGATGGCGTGACCCAGGAGGTTGGGAGAGCTG